TAATTTTTTTTCCCCCTTTTACATGAAACTAAAGAAATTTGGGGAAAATTTTTTTTGTAGTTTACAAATTTTTTATGCCCCCAAAATATCTCCTGCTACACAGAAAATTGAAACTCGGGCATTTTGATTTCAATATTCCAATTTGAAAGGGAAAAAAGAGGGCCCGTTTGTCGTCTTTTCATCAACGGGCCCTTTTCAAATAGAAAGGGGCATCTATTTTTTACAAAAGGGGTACAACTAAATTATTTAATTTTTGCAGATTTCAAATCATTTTGCCCTGTTTGGGGGTTTTTTAAATTTGCCAGCGATTTTGGGGATTTTTTCTTTTTCTTTCATGTGAGGGGGTTTATCCAGCTAGCTTAGGGATGGTTGATGGTTCATGTGGTGCCCACAGGGTGCAAAAAAATAATGAAAAAGGGGTACCCAAGGTTTTCTTCCACCAGTAAAGCTGGAAAGTGGCAATATGACCTTTACAGTACAGGCATGACTTTGAACTCAGCAAAACAAACAAATAAACTATATTTACTGACTTACTATTTAGATGTTTGCTGTGTTGATACATTTATGTTTTGCCATGTTGATACCTTTCATTGACCTTTTTCCCTTTGCCAGGGTTTTAACTTGATTAGGTTGATACTTAAGCCTTGTCAGTATAACATCAGGGAGCATCCAACAATGTTACACATATTCTTGTTTAACTACAAACATGTTTAATAATATTGTTGAAAGTAACATTATAATATTACAGTGATAACACAGTCTATGTAATAATGTTGAAAGTAACATTATAATATTACAGTGATAACACAGTCTATGTAATAATGTTGAAAGTTACATTATAATATTACAGTGATAACACAGTGTATGTAATGTTGAAAGTTACATTATAATATTACAGTGATAACACAGTCTATGTAATAATGTTGAAAGTTACATTATAATATTACAGTGATAACACAGTCTATGTAATGTTGTTGAAAGTTACATTATAATAACACAGTGTATGTAATGTTGAAAGTTACATTATAATATTACAGTGATAACACAGTGTATGTAATAATGTTGAAAGTTACATTATAATATTACAGTGATAACACAGTCTATGTAATTTTGGTGAAAGTTACATTATAATATTACAGTGATAACACAGTGTATGTAATAATGTTGAAAGTTACATTATAATATTACAGTGATAACACAGTGTATGTAATAAATGTTTGAAAAGTTACATTTATAATATTACAGTGTGATAACACAGTCTATGTAATAATGTTGAAAGTTACATTATAATATTACAGTGATAACACAGTCTATGTATTTTTGGTGAAAGTTACATTAAATATTACAGTGAAAACACAGTGTATGTAATAATGTTGAAAGTTACATTATAATATTACAGTGATAACACAGTGTATGTAATAATGTTGAAGTTACATTATAATATTACAGTGGTAACACAGTCTATGTAATAATGTTGAAAGTTACATTATAATATTACAGTGATAACACAGTCTATGTAATGTTGGTGAAAGTTACATTATAATATTACAGTGATAACACAGTCTATGTAATAATGTTGAAAGTTACATTATAATATTACAGTGATAACACAGTCTATGTAATAATGTTGAAAGTTACATTATAATATTACAGTGATAACACAGTCGATGTAATGTTGTTGAAAGTAACATTATAATATTACAGTGATAACACAGTCTATAGCTCCTGTGGTAACAGTGACATCAGCACCAGCAGTTGATTCAACAGCACCAAGTGGACCTGACAGTGCAGTGTTTCAGGTAAAACTTACTCTTATATAATGGATTCGCTTTGTCGTGTCCATCGGTCCGTCTCCATTTTCGTGTCTGCTCTATAACTCCTATACCAATTGAAGGATTTTCTTCAAACTTGGCTCAAATGTTCACCTCAACAAGGGGATGTGCAGAACCCATGTTGCCCATGTGTCATTAAGGTCAAGGTCACAATTGAAGGTCAAATATCAAACACAATCAAATATTAGACAGTATGTGTGTCCGCTCTGTAAGTCCTACACTAATTGAAAGATTTTCTTCAAACTTGGCTCAAATGTTCACCTCAACAAGGGGATGTGCAAAACCCATGTTGCCCATGTGTCAGCTTAAGGTAGCTCGCTACTTTCCGACCGAAATATGACAACATCTCAGATCTTGATGATTTTTTGTATGCAAACGTATAAATATGTGAGCTTTACTTCTGCAGTATTATTTTATAAATAAACAGCGTTACTATGACGTCAAAGCGCCCTCTATCGGTGGCGGCAAAATTGCGTCTTTTTTATCAATAAACCGGTCTGTTCTTATCAATTTTCATCCGATTTATTTCATTTTAATTTTATAATGTTCAGTAAATGAATGTCTTTGTAATGATGTCTTTCTTTAACATTTACTCAATAGTCTGTGATTTTACGTCATTTTTCTCTAACGTTTCTGACGTCCATATTTGATGCAAATATCGCGCGATATCGCAATAAAGATTGTGTAATAAAAAAAATCAACACGGTGAATTTTTGCTATAATTTTTCCGAGCGTGTAGTGAGATAGTGAAGGAAAATATTTATGCAATAAAAATATAGGGTCAACGCGTAAGATATTTTGCTATTACTGTTTTAAAATAAAATAAAAGGTGAGTGAAACGTAATGATTTTGGTGACGTTAATAGATGTTGGAGTTCAAATAACAATTTTCTTACGTCAGACATTACGATAGTAAGTATAAACAACACAGGGAACTTGATGAAATGTATATTTTTTTAATATGTTGATTATTTTCTCATTGAAAGCATGTGCTAGCATGAGCACATTTACAATGTTTAATTCCGAACAATCCCTTTTTAAATACTTTCCTAATTTGCAGGACACTGTCTCATACATCTTTTAATTCTAATTTTATAATGTGATGTTGTTAAAGTGTTATATTATTATATGAATTAACTAGTTTCAGCGCAAAAAATAAGATTCACATATTGCCTGTATGAATGAAGTAAGAATATTAGTTTGCTTATCTTATACCCGTAGAATATTTATTTTACGTTACATTCAGCTTTTAAACACATTTTCATAAAATCACATAAAGGCAGACGAGCCTCGGTGTCAAAACACATCGTAAAAATACAATTAAAATAGATATGCATACAAATGTGCCGAAATAAGTGGATTAAATAAAATTTCAAATATGTTAAAGGGACTCCACTGAGTTTTTTTGACATGATGGAATGAAAAATATTTTTTCCAGATAAAATGTACCATTTGATGTAGGGTTAGACCATAATCTTTGTGGCAAAATTTTCAGAGCATTCGCGCACTTCGTTTTTCCAGAATAATTATTCAAAATGAAAAGCGTTTAAACGCGTTTTCACCCAAATCGGGGGCTAACAAAAGCATAAAAATACGATTTTCAATTTATTTCAAAGTATTTTTTTCTTAACTATCTTCGCATTATATTTCTGTTTTAAAAGTGCCCAGGTCATTTATGTAAGAAATTCAAATGTTATGTGTTTGGCTTTTCAACCTCAGTGGAGTCCCTTTAAGAATATTTTAAAAACAAACTGTACAAGAAACAAAAACCTTTATTTTATTTTTATTTTTGCTTACCATTTTTAAGTCTGTGCAATACATAGATTATATAATTATAATCTAATTAAAATGTCATGATAATTAGAAAATGAGCACTTATGTGACAAACGGAAGCAAAATCATACTGAATAAAAAATATATAAGCATATTCGCAACTGCAGACTCGAATGTGAAACACCCAATATAACCATTACTCAACTCGGATTCATTACCGCTTTTCATAACAGTATAACATAGCGGGCTTAAAGTATTATTTATTTCTAAAAGCTCAACTACATTTTACCTCTGTAGGGCAAACACTCTAGGCAACAAAGGGCAATTTCTCTGTAAAGGTTATACTGTATATTTAATTAAATACAAAATATAATTATTAAATAACTTGTGCAACATTTGTTACCACTGAATACGAATAATGTATTATCTTGACGTTATCTTGTTTCATTTTTTAATACAATACAGTTTGCTTTAAAACAAAAATAAAAAAACAAGAAAAAATAAACAACCTCAAAACACACACCAAAACACGTGTTCATGATGTAAACAATAAAAGTGAAAACTTCTCCTTATTAAGGGAGATCATAATCAGGTATTTAACTTTGAATATTCTTCTGTTGCCACGTTGTAATCGGTAAAGGAGGTCTTACGCAGAATTCGGAAGGCATGGATTCGAGACACGACTGCGCATTGTACTGCGTATTATCCTTTAGAATTGTTTACTGTGAATGAAATGTTTCAAGGTCCACCTCGGACTCCTGTCATTCATTTCCAAAGAGAAGTTGATACTGTGAGAAACATGGTTTCGTTAAATTTCCTCCGCTATAATTGAAATAATGTTGAAAGCGGCGTTAAACCCAATATTAAAAAAAATAAGAAGATATAAAACATAAAATGCATAGTTCATTATTTTGATAGGCTCTACATAGCACTGCATTATGTGCAGACAAACGAGCTTCTCCCACAACCATAATCACACAAATTGAGAATCCCTACATAATCGCCTTCAGTACAAGGGAATCTGTATTTAATATGCAAAATTCTCCGCTTCTGAACATACAAAATAAATCAATGGATCTTTCGCCTCTAATCGAGAAATGATCGCGGCTTCAGGTCGCCTCAAAGATGCGCTAGTAAACGCATACCGCGAGTCAGCTAGTTTAAAATAAATAAGAATATCTGTAATTATATGTGAAATACGTGAGAAATTAAAAGCCATAGCATGAGAGCGTGATTCCTGCTTTAAATCTGAGTCCCACGCTTAGTGCAAGGATATTTAGCTGCGAGAGAAAATAGAATAACTGATGGCTGTCAATAAATAAATTTTTATACGTGTAGAAATTTTTTTGAATTAAATGTCTGCTAGATTTTATAATATAATTAAGACTACCAGTGAATCATGACTTACGTACAAATCGTTGCTACTTCCAGTTTGATCATATATTTTTTGAAACGTAAATTGGATTCATTTCCTACCAGAGACATAGATGTTATCTATGTCTCTGTTTCTACTAACTGATATAAAAATTATACAATTCAAAATTGTTACATATGATAATATGGAAGTTTGTACCGGGATACACATTGGCAACTGCACCAGCCTGTTCATTCTCTTTTTCTGACATTCTTTGCAAAATTTGTTTTTTAAATTTCCACTTAGGTGACCTTTTAATTATATTTTTCAATGTTTCTGAATTGTCTTTCAGTACTTGAGGTATTTATATTCCATTCGTTGCAGTTTTTTCAGAGATTGATACCAACTTTTGCAGACAGTTTTACCCTGAATTGTTGTACATGTATATATTTGAAGATATTCATCGAAATGCAGGCATCTCTGACAGGACTTTTAAAAAAAACATTTTTACGGAACATGTCTAAATACTATTGTTGTTAATGGTTTTCACAACATTTTTATTCCTGCCAGTATGATATTTATCGAAAAAGTCGTGAAAATTTCCTTGAGAAAAATATTTGACGTCACCAAAATCATTACGTTTTACTCACCCTTTATTTTATATTCAAATAGTAATAGCAAAATATCTTACGCGTTGACCCTATATTTTTATTGCATAAAGATTTTCTTTAATGACTTCACTACATGTTAAAAAAATTATAGCAAAATTCACCGTGTTGATTTTTTATTATTTCACAATCTTTATTGCGATATCGCGCGATATTTGCATCAAATATGGACGTCAGAACGTGAGGGAAAATAACGTAGAATCGCAGAGTATTAAGCAAATGTTCAAGAAAGACATCGTTACAAAAACATACATTTACTGAACACTATAAAATTAAAATGAAGGAAATCGGATGAAAATTGATAAGAACAGACCGGTTTATTGATAAAAAAGAGGCACTTTCGCCGTCACCGATAGAGGGCGCTTTGACGTCATAGTAACGCTGTTTATTTATAAAATAATGCTGCAGAAGTAAAGCTTACATATCTACATGTCTGTATACCAAAAATCATCAAGATCTGAGATATTGTCAAATTTCGGTCGGAAAGTAGCGAGCTACCTTAAGGTCAAGATCACAATTGAAGGTCAAATATCAAACAATCAAATATTACACGGTATGTCGTGTCCGCTCTGTAAGTCCTACACTAATTGAAAGATTTTCTTCAATCTTGGCTCAAATGTTCACCTCAACAAGGGGATGTGCAGAACCCATGTCTCCCTTTTGCCGGCTTAAGGTCAACGTCATACTTGAAGGTCAAAAGTTGACTTAGAAAATAATCTTAAATTTTAACATTTATTTGAATATTTCTGAATCTAGAAAAGGTTTTTGCTTGAAACTTAAAATATATATGAAGTGTCACAATTAAGATATGCTGGTCAAGTTTCATAACTCTGTATTGCACTTTGACAAAGTTATGCCCCTTTTTAAGTCTTCAGATTTACATACAATCAAATATTAGAAAATATGTCGTGTCAGCTCTATAAATCCTATACTAATGGAAGAATTTTCTTCAAACTTTACTCAAATGTTCACCTCAACAAGGTTATGTGCAGAATCCATGTCACCCTTGTGCCAGATTAAGGTCAAGGCCACACTTGAAGGTAAAAAATTGACATAAATAAAATGTTTAGTACATTGGGAAAATGAAAGGTTATTTGTAACTGCTTCGAACATGATTTGATAATATATATTTATCCTATTACCTGTACAGTTAGTCTTTTTTTCACCAGAGATAATTTCTTTTTATGTATTTGTGCCACTTAAGTTATTCCCTTAACCACCTTTCCAAGTCGTCTTCTGTCAAGGACATTGGAGGGGGTATGAATCGCATTCAGCGATAGTTCTAGTTAACTATATATATAGACTTTAGAGTACATTTTGCATTTACTTGCAATAGCTATTGCAGACTTTTAAGTATTAAGTAACTGTAATGGTTATAAGATAATCTTGATTGCAAGCTTTCATTGAAACTGCTACACAAACTTCTTATAGTTACTTTTTAAACCTTTTCAGTGTTAATATGACTAAAAACTTAAAATAAAAGATACAATAGTAGCATGATGATGAATTTGTCAGTAAAAGTGTGCCTTAATAAGACTTACAGTGCTGTTATCAAAACTGAAAAGCCTTTGCCAACAATACAGGGTCAAACCAGTCTGAGATCTGTTAAATCTTACCGGCAGCTGTTTATTGTATGCTGACCAACTTTCAAATTTTCATCAAAATGCCCTATAAAGTATTGACAGAAGTTGGTTCACTAGGGTTCATATAATGGATATGTACATTGTAATTCTAAATTGTTAGTTGTATCTTTGTTTATTTTTGTGGATAACATCTCCACAACACTTATTTTCAATGTATATTATAACATTATTCAGATTCTAATCTTAAGAGTGATTTTGTTTTTTATTTTCAGGGAAATTTCAACCCTCCTCCAGGACCATTTGGCCCACCTCCACCATTTACAAGACCACCATTAGGGCCGGGCCCTCCACATCCACCACCCTTTGATTACCATGGTAACTTGATGTTTTAATGTGCATTCATTTAAATCTTTTTTTTTTCAGTTTTAAAATGTGGTAACAATTTCATAAACATGCAAATACAAATGTATTTTGAAGGTCCACCATACAACTAGGCAAGGTGCTCTGACCATTTCCCATGTTCAAATTTAGTAACTAAACTCACCTGGCATAACGTTTGATAGTTGTGACTGGTCATATTGAAATGATGTTTTATATTTAACTTTACCTTTCATGAAGTAGTAGGTAATTGTCTTAGATTCTTATCTCTCAAATTTTGGTTCCAGCCACTTTAAAATCACACACATAAAAACACACGTAATATATGCTTATACCTCATATAAGATACCATAAAGGTTTTTAATTTTTTTAGGCCGGTTGGCTGGCTTATATTACCTTATACATGTGTATGATTGTATAAATTTAGAGAAATTTTGCTACACTAGTAATATTATTAATATTACCATTTAGAAAATTACAATTTTGTTGTTGTTAATATATTTCAGCTCCATGGCAAGGTCCACCACCCTCGGGACCTGGTGGCCCAGGCTTCCCGATGCCAGACTTCAGTAAGCCCCCTCCAGGATTCCCGCCCCCGGGGATGCAGAGGATGCCCCCTCCAGATATTGATCTCACTCCGTCAGTCCCATACTATGAGTTACCAGCTGGGTTAATGGCTCCACTTGTTAAAGTAAACTTTTATAAATCATTGTTGTTGTAAAATAAAATATATGCTAGATACATAGAGAAGAGCTTTAAGCATGTTGAATCAGTTTTTGAAATGAAATTTGAAATAAATATCATGTACTGGCATCTTGTATTAAATTGCTAAGCATTGTAGATAAAATTATAATAGTTTTGCAATTTCTTGGTAAATCGGTTGATGTTTTATATTTAAATAAAATATTTTGTTGCTACATGCAATGTATGCATAAAATATATGCGATCGCCATGCTATTGCAAAGAAGATTTATCACCTCAAGATACAATGGGTCTACAATTTATTTTCAGATACTAGTATTTACTATAAGTGTTATTCTATGTAAATGATGAAGAGTGCGATTAAAAAAAATTTGATAGAGCATCACACTTAATATCAAATTCCAGTATATACCAGATAAGGCCCTTGAATGATTAAATGCTTAAATCTCGCCTTTTCACCCGCCAAAATGCACTTTAAGATGTCTAATTCATCTATTCACAGTGATTTATAATCAATAATGAATGAAAATGTAAAAATCAGCGAAAAAAGAGAAACTTTCTACTTTATGATCATGATTTCTGCAAGCGTCTAGAGGTACTGCTACAACACTGTAGTGAGTTAAAGTCAATGATGAATACATAAAGTGATACAATATCATTAATTTTCTACCTGTATTATCTACCAGTACATGTATTACAATAAATCTGTCATTTGATGTACATATATTTTTCTATTTTAAGATGTCGAGATGAATATATTATGTAGAGAGAATAGAATTGGAATCTTACTTGATTAACTAATATATATTTGTTTGTTCCACAGCTTGAAGATCATGATTATCGGCCATTAGAACCACGAGATATCCGGTTACCTCCCCCTATGCCACCAAGTGAACGTTTATTGGCAGCGGTTGAGGCATTTTATAGTCCTCCATTTCATGACAGACCTAGGGACAGGTATTACAATTATTGTTTCTATGTTTTCTATTCATTTATAATCTCATGATGTGAATTTTGGAATCATTGAGTCGACATACATTTTGTAGAGAATGTTTTGATTTTAGCTTACCCGAGCACAAAGTGTATAAGGATCACTGGAAAACTAAAAATTTAATTTACAAAATTTCAGAAACTACCAATTTTTCCAAAAGAAAAACTTTTTCATTAGATTTTTTTAGGATAGCTAAATTGTCGTCTTTTTTGTTACAAGTGTCTTCGGGCCTTGAGATTCAGTTATTATTGGTGGAAAACCCAATTTTGCACGAAATTCTTTCTTGTTACATAAACTTTTATAAGGGAATATCTTAAAACCTGTTCTATTGAAGCTTAAATGACCAACTCTTAGAACTTTGGTGAGCCGCATTGTCCTTTAGGCTTGTACAAAACTTTTATTAGTTATGGCCCTAAGCAGCATTAACTTTTCAATTTACAAAAGTGAATGATTTAAGCCCAATTGAGTGGACATTTTGTTATGAAAATATATAATCAACATGTCCTACTATGAATTTTGAATTGACCATTGTGAGTTAAAAGGATTTCTAAAATAATGACATTCAGCTGAGTAAGCAACCCAACAGTAAAGTGAATTGTCACACTGCACAGATATGAAAACTGACATGGCACAGCTCTATACTGCTGTAGAAAAGTTTGTATTGTTGGGTATATTACGGATTTTCAATAACAAAATAGTAAAGTTATAAATAACAAAATAGTTAAATGAAGCAGCAGCCAGCTTGAATAGGCAGTCTAACTAACCTGCATACATGTACAGGTTGGTCTGGCAGACTCTTAATTAACTTAGGCAAGTAGTTATGTTTCTATCGAGAAGAAAAGTTAAACGTTAAAGTATAATTTCATATTTCAACTCTGTGTCGTATGATAGTTTCATAAGCTTCAATTTCATCAAAGATCTATACAGTTCTGATCTATATAAAGTTTTATGATCTTAATTAAAACACGATTAGTTTCTGGCAAATATCAAATTTATATAAGAGGTTGAAAATTTTGCTTCTAAGTTGAACAGGAAATTATCAGGGTTGTTTTTTTTGTGGTTGGATGTTCTGCTATGTGATTTGATAACATCAAGGGAAGTAATTACTTGATGCTACTTTTATCTGGACTGTTGTTAATTTGCCTTAAATTACACATGTCAACACTATGAAGTTTTTGTTTTTTTTAGAATTTGGTTTTGTTCCTGTTTGAAACTTTTATGTGCTGAATGTTTGCTTAAATGAATATTTACACACAGCCTGATTGCAACAACAGTGGAATTAGGCAATATTGTCCTTGAAAGCTAATTGCACTGTTTGAACATTTTACTTGTAGACGTTGCCCTGAATTTGTTTGTGAAACTATACTACTCTGTTAATTAAGTCTTATTGATCACATGTAAAACATCAAACCTTGTCTAGACTACTCACCATTTAGAGGAAGTGGTGAGAAAGTAAATTACTGATTGATACCATTGTAAATATATATTTTATATAAGTTTGTTCAATCTTGTTTACAGTGAAGGATGGGAAAAACTTGGTTTGTACGAATTTTTCAAGGCTAAACAAAAGGCAAGGAAGTTGAAAGACCAGGAAGAAGGTTCTTCTAGATCAAGATCAAGGTCAAGATCAAGGTCACACTCAAAATCTAGGTCAAGGTCGAGGTCAAGATCAGGATCATTGTCAAGGTCACCAAGGAGGTCGCCTGTAAGGTCACCACCAAGAAGACGTAGATATAACAGCAGAAGTAACAACAGTAGCAGAAGTAGAAGTAGATCAAGGTTAAAACATTGATTGTTTATTTACATGTTCTATTTAACATACCATTGTAACAAAGCTTGGCTAGCCTGGGATTAAGGCGTTAATTTTTTGCTTATTCATAACATACATGCTATTTCATACTCGATCGTCATAGATAACACAACATCTATGGTTTTGATAGTATCAACGCCTGGGGAAACATGCGGGGTTTCCCATGTAATTATCGACTGATGATAATCCTTTTAATAGACTGATTAGCATGTGACCAACAAATTACACGACTAAATTGAAATGGAGGCGGAGATGATGAATGTTGAAAATTTGATGCCATTTACTATTATAAACTGCGTCCAGCACAATTCTCTGATGCGCACAAATTTTATCCAATTTAACTATTCAAACCTGTTGATCGAATTCACTCATCATGCAATAAACTTTGTCAACGTGTGTTAGTTTTTAATCGGAAATGGTATTTTGAAAGCGAGGCTCCGTAACTGTTCGTTGAGCTTCGGGTCACTTTGTGGAAATTCCGTTTCTATTTTTAGAAACTAGTTTGTCATTGCATAAGTTATCGTTCTTTAAATAACACCCGTAATTTTCGGGTGAATACTAGGTGGCGCTTCAATCGAAAATTGTATTTCCCCAGGCTGTTGATTTGCCAAACAGAAGCATATAAAAAATTGACAGACTGGAACCCAGGCTAAAGCTTGGCAACAATGCTATCTTCCTGACACAATGTTAACATTTTAAGATAGTTGCATATAATACAGTTGGAAAGGATAAGAACTTTATTGAAATTTCTGTCAATACTTTGTACCACTATATCCCAGTTAGATAAACATGCTTGACAAGCCTGTGTTAATGGTTCATCTTGAGTACTGATATCAGTGATGACTTCCTTTTGTTATTATAAGGACAATAATTATAAACACAAATTAAAGTGGTATAGTTTTTTCTTGGAAACCTTCCTTGTAATGGTTTAATTGACTATTTACTTCTTTTTTTAGCTCACCTAAGCAAAAGGTGCTCAAGGTGAGTTTTGAAAGGGCAGTTGTCGTTTTTGTCATAAACCCAATTTACCAAAAGTTTTAAAAAAACATATCCTAGACCATTTTACATTTCCCTTTAAAATAAAGTTCCTCTGATTTTGCAAAGGAGGTCAAGGAGCTAAAATAGACTTAAAAATGAAATTTTTTTTTTTAAAAACAAACTAGAGAAGTTTTGGGGGGTAAAATCACCTTGTGGTTTTTTTACAAATTTAATTAAAATGGGGGAAAAACCCCCCTTGGGGGTAAAGTTTTCAAAGACTTATATAGAATAATTTTTTTCTTTTTTGAATATGAACGCAATACCCAACTTAATTATTTTGCTTGAGCTTGCCAGACTTTTTCAAAAATTAGTAATGCTCCCACTCAAAAAAAGACCCCCTTTTTTCACAATTTCCTGGACAAAATTAAACCCCTTAAAAAAGATAATTTTTACAATCTTTTTAAAAACAAAAAATTTTTTGGGTACCGTAACAGAAAAAATTGCAAAGATAAAAAATATACCCAGAATTAATAACATTCAAAATTTATTTTAAATTTTTAAAAAGATTTTAGTTTACAAATAAGTTTTGTGGTAAAAACCCCATCAAATGGGGGAAAAATATTTGAGAACATATTTTATCCCGTCTTGTCGAAAACCCCGGGGCCCCGAACAAAAAACTTACAATTTAAAAATTCAAAAGGGCCTCAATCCAAACCAAGAAGTAAAATTTTTAAACTGTTTGGTGTATTGATCAAAGGGAGACAATGAAAGCATGATGTTATTTCTCAACATATTTTGCATTGCTCTATTCAGATGGTTAGCTGAATGAAAGGAGCAAAGTTAACAAAATTGATTTATGATATGATTTACTGTTAAATTGAAAATTAAATTTGTATTGATATATACATGTATATCTCGAACATCACTGCTATTATATGCTACTTTATGTTATCAATGAAAAATCAAACAACAGTAATGCAAGTTGATGAGTGTCCTGGAGACAAGTCTTTTTTATCAAATTTGTTTAAATGTTCATTTATTCAGATCAAGGTCAAGGTCAGACTCAAGGTCACCACTGCCATACAGAAGGTCAAGCAGGTCACCATCACCTGTAAGACGGAAAAGATCAAGGTCGCCAGATTCTAGATCTGGAAGTGTAACCCCTCCAACCTTGTAAGTGTTTCATGCTGATCTATGCATAAATTATGTTATTAAAAACAACAGTTATCAAAACATTTTTATAATTAATCTATTCTAAACAAAATAATGACTATTGTGATCTTTCACTTTAAATTTTGGTTATGAATTTAAAGGCAATTTTATGTGTTTCTAACATTAATGTATCTCTTGAAACATTATTGCTACTGATAATAACATTGTATATGCATTCTAAATTCTATTCTTTATTCTTTAATTTGAACTGTTTCCTATGATGATATAATATGATAATAATGGTAACAGTGACATTGATATATTTTTCAAGTTCTACAGAGTCATTTTTGGCCGCAGCTGCTGCAGCTAACACAAACCAGAATCTTGGTGAGGAAAATAGAGGTCATATGTTGCTGAAGAAAATGGGTAAGATTGACAGATATCAGATTGATAAACATATATAAGTTCATACATTAAATTGATGCTTGCCAGAATTACTAACTTTAAATGTTAGAAAAGTTGTTACTTATGTTGTTAAGGCCCCACTACTTAAGAGAGGCATATAGATTTGCCTTTGTCCGTCCCGCTGTCACTTTGTCTATCCATAGAATGAAAAAATATGAGGGCATTGTATGGATACCTTTCTAGTTATTTAATTTCAAAATAATACTTTAAACATAACAAACAATTCTTCCATATTTAATCTTACATAAAATTAATCAAGGTACCGGTATGGCATTAAACCTTGTTAGTGATGTAAGGGAGGTAATCATGATTTGAACAATTTAAGTAAACAGGTATTATTTGTATGTTTTAGGTTGGGGTGGTAAAGGTCTAGGAGCTAAGGAACAAGGTATTGTAGATCCTATAGAGGCAGCAGATGTTAGAGACAGGAATGATATGTATAAAGGTGTAGGAATTAATATGAGTGATCCATTTGAACAGTTCAGGAAAAATAAAAGCCAGGGATTTATTACACGTATGCAGGCCAGAGACAGTAATAAAGATGGTAAGTATTACAATAAACTATGATAAATTTAAACCTAAAACGCCATGTTCAGACGTTCAAATCATTCTATGTTCTGATAAAAGTAATGTAGAAAACGTTATTTTCAGTATTAGTCAAAGTGTATAGCTTTATTTTTTGGGATTTTTAACATGTAACTGAAGTTACTCTTCTGTTTATTGACTATCAGTAATGAATTGCAGAATTCAAATTTTTTTCTCTAGCTTTATGTTCTTATTTTTGGCTAAATACAATTTTAAAACTTTTAGAATAGTTGTGACAAACTGTTTAAAATTGAAGTTGTTAATTTATAAATACTCTTTTTTACTGTTCATATTGACTATCAGTAATGATTGGATTTTTACCAAAAGATGAATAATACTTTTAGGTCATGTTATGAAATTTTTCAACAGTTATTTCATTCATCAAATATTATACTTTCTTAAAATTTAAAAATGTTTTGTGTCAAAATAAACATGTAAATGTTTAAGGTCCTTTAAGGAAAAAATGTATAATAAACATCCTGCTTTTTTAATATATGTTCTTTTAGCTGTTAAGATAGCGATTTAAAAACAAATGTTTATTTGAGAATTAAGAAACATGAAGGACACTGTTGTTAGTAATAACTGTTTTGAAAGGGAAGTTGTACAGGAAATATAAAAAAAATTTATTCACGTTTATTGGGAGACAGTAAAATTTAAGCCTGCAGTTACAATTACTTTTTGCCACAAATATTAGAACTGTCGTCTGCCGTCGTCTGTCGTAAAAGGAAGCCTCTAGTAAACAACCATTATACGAGAACAAAGGTTATTTATCATATAGCTTTTATTTTTGGCAATAACAATTTTAAAACATTTGCTTAACTTGGAATTTAACACCTTACTGTTAGATTGACTATCAGTGAATGAATTGCACAAATTTTCAATTGTTTTTTTCTTTCCCGTTTTACAAGGAAAATTTTTAATGGGAATTCTTTAGGTGAGGTTTTTTAAAATCCAAAAAATTAAAATTTTTAGAAGGAATTTTTGAACAAATTTTTTAGTTTGGCCCTTTGGTTGATCCTTTTCAAAATTGAAATAGTGTGAACAATTTCAAACCGTGGCAAGATTTTGCTGTAAACTTCCAGGTTTCACAAACCTTAAGTGTTATTTTATAAATTATGTTTCTGTTTTCTTTTTTGTAGAGAAGAAAAAGAGGTCTGCAGATAACTGAAGGAAGGAGGTGTTTGGAATGAAGGTTTTTCTTCAGCATTAAATGAAAAAACACTCTACTTCTTACACTGAAGTATTGATTTGCCTTTGTTTAAGTTTGGACAGTCTGTTATCACCAATACATGATAAATATTCTTTTGAAGTTATGTCATGTTATGTAAAATAATCATTACTATTATCATATCATCATCGTCATCATCATCACTTACATCTTCATCAGTACAGACATTGTAAGTAAAAGTGTCATGTGTTCAAGAATGGATCATGTCGAAATGTTAAGTGTCCTTTAAGGAATAAATGTTATAAATGAAACACTCCTGTTTTCTTATATATATGTTCCTTTAAGCTTTATAAGTATAGGCGTTTAATATTACATACATGTTTATTTAGAGGAAATTATAAAAACAGAAAGGACACTGTTGGTTGTAATAATAACTGTTTCCTAGAAAGTGCAAAGTTGTACAGGAAATATGATAAAAAAATATTATTCATCTGTTTTGATTGGGTTTAGTTACACTGTAAATTTCATTAAGCACCTGATCAGCTTTACTGAGGCATTACTTTTTATGCCCCTACAAAGTGGGAGCATTTAGCGTTGCACTTGTCTGTCTGTCTGTCCGTCCGTCTGTCTGCACTACCAAATACGGATAGGGGGCACAATAGAGTTCATTCCGTAACAATAGAGTAAGGGGCCATTGGCCCTCTATTAAACCGGACGTCCGTCTGTCCCGCAATCTTGTGAACGCAACTCGTCTTAAACCGGATGGCAGATTTTGCTTAAACTTCCAGGGATGAACAACCTTAATGTGTAGATGGTAGTAAAGGAAGGAATTTTCGCTGCGACCAAATTTAACAGAATTATGGCCCTTTGTTGATTTTTTTCACTATATACTATGTAGAAATTTTGTGAACGCAACTCCTCTTTAACCGGATGGCAGGTTTTGCTTAAACTTCCAGGGATGAACAACCATAATGTGTAGATGGTAGTTAAGGAAGGAATTTTCGCTGCAACCAAATTTATTAGAATTATGGCCCTTTGTTGATTTTTTCACTATATACTATGTAGAAATTTTGTGAATGCAACTCTTCTTAAACCGGATGGCAGATTTTGCTTAAACTTCCAGGGATGAACAACCTTAATGTGTAGATGGTAGTAAAGGAAGGAATTTTTGCTGCGACCAAATTTAACAGAATTATGGCCCTTTGTTGATTTTTAGTTTCATGTAGTCCAAAAAATATTTGACCTAGAGTCATAAGATTGACAGAACAGTGGCGTGTGGGGGCATCCGTGTCCTATGGACACATTTCTAGTCATGATAAGATTTTCCAAGATAAGTTGTTTTTCTTCTTTAGATGAGACTCACACTGATGCATGTAATTAGAATACAGCAACTTTAACCTCTTGGCCATAAAGATAAAAAAAGCTTAATGTTAATTTCAAAGGCTGAATTTTATTTAATTGGAAGAGGAATATTTTACAATAACATGGTATTGTAAAATAAATCTGAAGAAAGATTTATATAAAAGTTATTAGAGACTAGATAATGACCTAGAAACTTTTTTTTCCATTAATATGTGCAGCATTAGGGCCATGCTGTAAAATCAAATGTATTTTTCCAAAATTATAACATGGTATGCCTAAATAACAGTCACATGCTTTAGTGAACAACATAATGTAAGTAGATAATGAGCAACAAATCAGCCATTGTAGTGCTAAACCCACTCAACACATGTATTAGATTTGGAATGAGTACCAAAATCATAAAGTTAATGAAGCTATCTTAACATGATGGGAAGTTGTTCCTGAGGAAAGTAAACTCCATATTGAAGAGTAATCACAACAGGCCAATGTGTGTTGTGCTATGAAGAGCATATTTGATATTTAAAAGGTATTTAGTGTGATGGAAGTTTAGAATTTATCTGAACCACTCTCATGTCAGCAACCTGGAAGCAGTACAGGTGTCAAATATATATGAGCCGCGTCACAACAAAACCAACATAATGGGTTTGCAACCAGCATGGATCCTGATCAGACTACGCGGATGCGCAGGCTGGTCTGGATCTATGCTGGTCGCAAACTCACTATATTGGTTTTGTCATGACGCAGCTCAATTATATGACCAAATAGTCCCAGGACAGAGAAACAAGCAGCTTTACCACTAGGATTCCTTCCTCCTGCAAATATTTAGCTCATCTTTCCAAAATGGGAAAAAGAAAAGAGAACAAATATTTTTTCTCCTATATTCTTTATTGCTAAACATAAACATAAAAGCTCTTTAATGTCAAAATGACAAAATATAATGTGAAACAAATAAAAATACACATCATACATAAAGTAATCATGCTTAAAAATCTTAACAAAAGTATAGTGTAGAAAGAAAAAAGAGCCAACTAACTTTCCTGAAGTTTTGTACACATATAAGAAGTTTTAATAAAAAAAAAATAATCTGCAAAAAGTGATAAAACAATTTTTAATGTAGCGGGTAAAAATGTAATAAATTATCATAATCCTTGTATTGGGTCACTCATTATTGCGAGTACCATATTTTGCAAGCAAAGCTGAAAGGAAATTTTTCCAAAGAATCAGAAATGCATAATTGAACTGATTACATAAATTTGTAAAATGCCTTTTTATGGCTTCATTTTTACAAATTTATCAAAATATTTACTAGAGCAAAGCTTGTTTGTTTTTGTGTTACCATGTGTCTTAAAACTAAATAAAACTATCACATCTGATTACCTTAAACTTATTGGCATATAACAACACTACATTCAATCTAAAGAAACGGTATCTTTTTTTAGGAATCTGCATATTTAAGAAATGATCATTTCAAAAATAAAATTATTTTGTTTTTATGTTGTTTCACATAAAAGTATTGTCAATGGTGCTGAAAACATGAATGGCAAGCTGGCAGGCAGTGCAACGAACATATATTGGTGTAGCATAAAACTTTGTACATAATCAAGGTGAAAAAATAGGTACCAAATTGAATGATGATAGCTTGAAATCATAAATATCCATGGAAATTCTTCTGATTATTTTCTTTAAAAAAAGTGCAAAAAAAAGAGGAAACCTTTCCAATTTTTTTTCAAAAATAAAGACAAATACATATGTACATGACAACCTTTAATTTTTAAGGCCTTTTATTTAGTACTAATTGCAAATTTCTTATATATTGGTTGATTAAGATCAGAAATATCTACTTTGGTGCATATATAATAAAGTGATTGGATGATATTTGTTTAATAATACATGTATAATGATCTATTATTTCTATTTTGATTTAGGTAGCAATATTAAATCAAAGCTGCAGGTGGATATCAAAATAATTATAAATAAGAAAAAGCATAATTATATCATAAAATCTTACCAAAAAGAATAGGAAGTAAAATTTGACAAATAATTCTTACAAAAGCTACGGATATTTAAAGAAATGTACAAAAGTATCAATAATCTTTGCCCTGCTGAATTTGTGTGTAATGAATTTTAAAGGTTTTCAGCATTAGAATTATACAATCAAGCAGCCTGTACTAAAAAGAGCATGGTTATATAATTCAGCAAGGTCTGGTTTTATACTGGTAGTGTAATTCTAATAGTATAACCTAATATAATTGTCATAGTTAACTAATATTAACATTAGTAATACAGAAATTAAATTACTAGTGACAGTAATTAATATATAATATATTAGACATTTTATAAATAATATTGGGACATAGTTGGAATCCTATGCTTTCAAAAAGCTTTAAATGTAAATATATATTGATAAAAGTGTATTTTATACAAAAAAGTAAAATTTTGCCTTCACTGTAATAAAGGAAATGTAAAATTACTAAGTAAAAGTTATATAGCACTAAAAGTTGCATTCTATTCACAGGTAGTAGTGTTAAAAAGCTAACAATACACAGAAAATCATTATTACACTTTTTACTATAAATAGAAACAATAGAGTGACATGTGATCAATTTTGAGTTAGCAGAACAGTGCTGAAAATTAATAATCATAATCGCCTTCCTGAACATAAGCATCGAGAGCCAATGATCACATATGATGTCACATTATATGTCATCAAAACAAGCTATGAAATCATTTTGATTTTAAAAACTTGAGCAATTCAATTCACAATCTAGAAAAAACGTATGTTTATCTTTGATTTTTAGTCTGATCTTTTATTTTGAGAATAAGACAAAAATAGTCCTTGCCAACATCTAAATTAAAACATAAACTAAATAGACTATTGATCAAATAAGCAAACTACATACACCGAAATAATGATTATTTTCAAAAATGCCCCCTGAAGTTTTGAAGCTTGTTACAAAATAAATAAATATATATAATTGCAAAGAAAAGTATCCATATCTTTCACCGGTGCAGTTGTTGGTAACAAGATAAATATATATATAAATAACCAAAGTATAGGGTAAAATAGTATAGGGTAAAATATAACAAAATGTAAAATTTTTAATTAAAAAGGATATTCATACTGTCAAGCTTATCAATTAAATGTTTAAATTTTAAAAATCGTGTCTTGTTACTTTAGTGTTAAAAACTCGAACCATACATGTTATATCAATTTAGATATTTACTTCAATTACTGTATGTCTACTTGATATCCCCACAACTGATTATTATAGCAATCAGTTATTATAGTTGAATAACTTAATGTTTAACTTAGGAAATAGATATCAATATTTAGTGCATTGTTGAATAATGCACAGTTTGAGTTAAAATTCACAGAAATATAATTACAAAGGCCGATAAGATTGACTGATAACCTGTGCATGATTATACTACAACATATGAAAAATGAATATTTATTTCCATTTTACCATGCTAATGAGAATTGGTACAATATGTTGAACTACATTGAACGTAGAAGTACTTTTCCTGACATCATTTGGTTTATAGATATTATATGACGTGTAAACCATTCCTTTTTTATGCCATAGAAATATCGTGTAATAATGCACTCAACTGTTATATCTGGTTTATAAGAGACTAATGTGAAGCGTGTTAGAATGTTAGTTATAGACTTACATACAACAAGATGCTTTTATATACTGATACATGTACATTCACAAATGTCACAATAGCAATATAGAATACTATTTTACAGAAATGAAGTAATTAATTCAGGCATATCAGTCATTTTCCTTCAATGTCGACATATTAAACTAATACAAAAATATCTAAATTAATCGGTTTTCTGTTTGTATTTTAAAATGTAGAATCAAACAGTAATCATAAATCTTTTATTGGGTTTTAAGTCACAGCATTGCCGTAAAGATTATATGGCAACCTATAGCTTTACTGGTGAAGGAAGTCCTACTGTCCCCCTTGAAGTAATTATTTGATGAAATAAATAAGGCCACTGAACTGTTTTTATTAAGTTATAAAAGAGCATATACAATTTTCTTCAAACAGAAATAAAATATAATTTATTCCACTTATTACGACATATATAATTTAGGCCATGTCAAACCAAAAACTACATTGTGATAAAAAATCTGTAGAAAGAGAGAGATCCCTTGACAGTAACAAAAACAAAGCAAATAGCTACATATGTTAATTTTCTTTCAAGGCAGTTATCAATTCAAGCAAAAAACTGAGTATTGATCATAATTATGTGGTGGAATAGATAATTTACATTACAACTGGTGGGATAAATGATAAACTTGTAGAAATGTAAGATAAACCTGGTATACGACTATATATAAAGATTCAAATCTTTGATCATGTTTATATCAAGAAAGAACAATGTAGATAAACTTATATCATAAAGAATATATCACTATCACAGATTATATAAAGAAATATTTTGAGTCATTCCTTATTCTGGCATTGTACTGTGCATAAAATTTTACTTAACAAGACAAGAATTTGTGTCTTTCCTTTATACTGTAAAAAAAGAAAACTTGCCTCAAACAAAAATCATCTTTTTTAATAAATATGTGTGAAAACATTGGGAAATATAAATCTGTAAGCCAAATTGGTTTTCTTACAAAATTATTTCATTTGTAACTGTAAATACCTCGGCCAGTTTTTAAGTGACATTACATGTAACAAGAGCTGTCGGTAGGACAGCAACGCTCGACTATTCTTAGTGCTTGATAGTAAAAAAAAATGCTTGATAGAGTTACCTCCTCCTGTTTACAGGTTGGGGTCATGATGGTGAACAAGTGTGCAAAGTTTCAAAGCCATATGTCAATGGACTTTGAAAATATTTGAACTCTATTACAAAAAACTTTAACGTAAATTCTAAGTCGAAAAAGGGGCATAATTCTGTCAAAATGCTTGATAGAGTTACCTCCACCTGTTTTACAGGTTGGGGTCATGATGGTGAACAAGTGTCCAAAAGTTTCAAAGCCATATGTCAATGGACTTTTGAAAATATTTGAACTATTACAAAAACTTTAACGTAAATTCTAAGTCGAAAAAGGGCATAATTCTGTCAAAATGCTTGATAGAGTTACCTCCTCCTGTTTACAGGTTGGGTCTATGATGTTGAACAAGTGTGCAAAGTTTCAAAGCCATATGTCAATGGACTTTGAAAATATTTGAACTATTACAAAAACTTTAACATAAGTGGTTACGCCGACGCCGACGCCGACGCTCGGGTGACTGCAATAGCTCTACTTATTTTTATCGAATAGTCGAGCTAAAAATCATACACTTCTATGTTTTTAAATAAATATGCATATGTTAAATAAGATGTAACAAATATGGCACATGTTTTAAATAAAGCTAGCACTAAAATAACATCCATGTGACATTTGTGAAGATAATTTCACTTTCATACAGTACACTTTATGTAACTTACAATTTAATATACAAAAGTTTTATTATTTCTAAGCAAAACTGGCCTTACTACATTTAATCAATGTTAACAAAGAAAGATATTGACCAAATTTTCATTATCTTATCATACAAAATAACAACACTGATGATTCTCAATACATCTAACAACAACATTCTAATACCATCATTAATCCTGAAATATTAACCAACAACAACAGTCAGGCATGCAAACAACAACAACAATAACAATATCCCAACATTTAATCTCAACTACATTGCACAATGGAGATTCAACAATTTCTTTCTTTATTTATGTCTTGGTTAAACAATTGTCTTTTCTACCACTATAACCTCTTTAAACTCCTTTCTTTTAATAAATTAAAAAGTTATTTTCAAAGAATATATTTGCCCAGAAAAAATACGGTAAAAATTAAAATACAACTACCCCCTACCCCCAAAAAAACTATAAAAACACTGTCCATATATGTACAATGTACATCAGGTTTGACTACGAAAAAGTATATATAAGCTGACATCAGAAGAAATTTGTCTGAAGTATACTTGCCAGAATTTACACTAGTGGTATACATGTATATATGTCATGATAACTGAAAGTGTTCAGGAGTATAAATAAACAAGGCAATTATTATTACCCAATAAATCCTGTCCAACAGTTTTTTAAGTTTTTGTGAGGGCAAACATATTTTTTTTATAAAAATAACATTAATATATCTGGTTTAAATGAGACAGTACAATAACATACATGTTTTAAATCATAAATACTCCAGAAAATATCTAACTCAAATAGTACTCTGCTTAAATGGCAAAAATAAAATATATAAATCACATAAATACCATCTCACACTATAACCCTATCAATGTACTGCACGTAACTATGTGTACATAAGTTAAATATAAAAATTTTCTTGAAAAATGATCGGATATAGAAAATTTACTTTCAGAGAAAATTTACTTTTACCTGTCATGAATTTTAACCAATTTACCATAAAACAGGTGGGAAAATAAAAGCAATTTACTACATGCTTTTTTTGTGGACTGTGAAATTATATGGTGATAATTTTGCAGTGCAATTATAAAATATAATTTTCACAGGAGCTGGACTTTATCTGAATGTGGATGAAAAAAAATTTATCTAAGATTCAGAAAAAAATCTAAAATATTTCTAAGATAAGTAGAAAATCTAAAATATATCTAAGTAGAAAATCGCCAGAAATACACATCATTGTGAGTAAAATGCGCTTGATTAAGAGGAGCATGTTAATATCTTCACATGTCATTTTAAAAATGTAACATTATTCGTAAAAATTTACAAAATTATTTTTCAACACAAACAATGTAACATGATGATTTGATGACATCATGAATGAGAGCGCATGTTGTTATGTGGCAAAAATCAGTAAGAATGATTTAAAACCCCTTAGAAGCATGAACTGTTTGTTTTGTATGCAAGATCAAATCATGTTTCACTGGTTAACATCAGCTCTTATATTTTCAATCCTGACTATGCCATGCATGAAAATATTTCATCTGGTGTTCTCTCTGCGAAATATATTTTGATCTTACATGCAAAACAAATAAATATCCTCTTTATAACAAACAATTTCCTATATACCAAGTCACTGTATTAACTTCATAAGCAGACAACTACTAGTTTTTACCATTTTTCTATAGTCACACTAAACTTACCCCCTTTAACTTGAAACCTGTGACAGACATAAAAATGTTCTCATGAAGCCTTCAAGATCATCTGACTGTCATTGTATATATTATAACCCACTAGCCAGGAATATAGCATTCCCCTTTACAACATGTAACTCCCATCATGGACACAGCTCTTTATATTTATTGCTCAGTATAACTTATACCCCATCCCACCCCTTTCTACTGGTGTCTACATGAAAACGAAACATAGACCAAAGTACAATGTAATCAAGTAAAATTAAGAAAACCAGTAGTTAACTATTTCATTTAATAATAGAAGCTGAAATATATAACCATATACCATACAATCCTGACACTGATTTGCAAGTTTTATACTTTGAAAAATTAATCATGTAGAAGTTTAACATACTTTTATGTTTTCCCAAAAAAGTTCCTATGAAAAAAAAATTTGTTTTTAACCCTGAGCTTTCTGGCAGTAACTGAATCTACACATGATACTAGTGCAGACCTAAATGGGTGTCATCTGCTGAGTCCTTTATTCACTCATTTTATATTTTGAAATTTTCCCTAAAATAATGAATTGTTTTCTACACATTGAAAGATGGACAAGTCAATTTAACATATTTAGAATGGTAGGAGTTAAACAAACACCTACAGTAAATACACAAAGGCAACAATTTCTGAGCAAATCTGCCTGACGTAAGTGGTACAACTTTCCCTAATAACTGGGCTGAACAGTTTTGAGAATTTTATCAAAATATAAGGTGGGTATAGCTTTTTAACATTGCTATATGCAAGTGATTCACCACGACAGAAGAGGTGGTGGGGTTAAGAGGTTAACCTAAGCAGGTGTATGGAATTAATAGTGACTACTTTGATAATGTTGAAAGTTTTTTTTTCAAGATTAGGCCACAGAACATTTCCCTAATAAAAAGATAAAAAAGGTTTTAGTGTTAAAAACTAAAAATAATTAAAAGCATAAAAATAAGCATTAATTGAGCTTAGAATAATCCCTGTTAGTGTAAATAATAGAAGAGATGAGCTTTAATCATAACTTGTTCTTTATGTAAAAAAATGTAAATAAAAGAAAATCTTTGTTCTTTCTTGCATAAAATATCATTCAAATGTAAATAAAAAACAACACTTTTTGTACAAAAAAATAACAAGACAGAAAATGATATGTGTAAACATAAATTTAAAGAAATTAATGCACACTGTAAAGTGAGTGAAATAAAATTAAAGTTAAAAGCTGATATAATATTGATCAATGCTGGTTATTAGATAGCATAGTTATCACTATTTGTTCTTATTGGCTGGTAAGTTGACTGTAGGGCAGCCTGACCATTCTTCTTTACTTTGTAAAATCCTGCAACATTAATTAAAATGATGGTTATTTAATTCTTATATGAACATTTAATAAAATAAGGCTTATTTTGATACTTAGCACATTTGTGTATTTCATGCATTTCACCAATATGACCCAATCACTGAATATAAATCATTGATTTATTCGAAGTCAATTCAACTAAAAAAACTTGAACAAATAACTTCCCTCCACCTCCCCCCTGTGTTTCTACTGTCTTTACGAAGTCTTTAACCACTTTGCCCATTTAAACAAAACCACACCAAGTTCTAAACATGGTTACTTCCCTTGGATAATCTATACGAATTCAACATTTATATATAAGACTTTCATTGACACCAATAATTTCTTTAACAATATATAGATTAAGAATAAAACAAACATGATTGTCTGCACCTCACCAATTTACATGAAGCAGAACTGAATGTCAACACTACTACAAGTAATACTGACTAAAAGTTACTGGTATCTAAAACGGTAAGTGAGACAACTAAGTGTCTAAACAACAGTGATAATAAAACAGTCACAAGTGACAGTCATGTGTGGCAACCATAAGTTACAGTCATGTGTGGCAGTCATAAGTTACAGTCATGTGTTGCAACCATAAGTAACAGTTATGTGTGGCAACTTTAAGTTACAGTCATGTGTGGCTCCCATAAGTTACAGTCATGTGTTACTACCATAAGTTACAGTCATGTGTGGCTCCCATAAGTTACAGTCATGTGTGGCAGCCATAAGTTACAGTCATGTGACACAGTCATGTGTGGCAACCATAAGTTACAGTCATGTGTGGCAGCCATAAGTAACAGTCATGTGTGGCAGCCATAAGTAACAGTCATGTGTGGCAGCCATAATTTACAATCATGTGTGGCAACCATAAGTAACAGTCATGTGTGGCAGTCTTAAGTTACAGTCATGTGTGGCAGTCATAAGTTACAGTCATGTGTGGCAACCATAAGTAACAGTCATGTGTGGCAGCCATAAGTTACAGTCATGTGTGGCAACCATAAGTAACAGTCATGTGTGGCAGTCATAAGTTACAGTCATGTGTGGCAACCATAAGTTACAGTCATGTGTGGCAGTCATAAGTAACAGTCATGTGTGGCAGCCATAATTTACAGTCATGTGTGGCAACCATAACTAACAGTCATGTGTGGCAGCCATAAGTTACAGTCATGTGTGGCAACAATAAGTTACAGTCATGTGTCACAGCCATAAGTAACAGTCATATGTGGCAGCCATAAGTAACAGTCATGTTTAGCAACCATAAGTAACAGTCATTTGAAACAATCAATTGTGGCAGCCATGAGTAACAGTCATGTGTGGCAGCAATGAGTAACAGCTATGTGTAGCAGCCATGTGTAATAGGTATGTCAGGCACCAATAAGTAACAGTCATGTGAAACAGTCATTTTTGTGGCAGCCATAAGTAACAGTCATACAAGACAGTCAGTCATGTATGGCCGCCATAAGCAACAGTCATGTGCGGTCAGATAACAGTATCAAGCTTTTATAGGTAGCTTTATATCGGCATGATTTCAAAGTCATGTTAATTTCTAGAAAAGTTTACAAAATGTTTAAAATACAATCTATTGTCAAATTTTCAAATAAAATAATCCAAGCTAACAAAAGGCATTTTTAATTGACATAAAATTATCCAATTATCCCAGAACCACCATTTGTTTGTTATTAATGGGATAATAAAGGTACAAAAATGGTCAGTTTTATCATATTTGACATATAAAGCATTTGAAGGAAAATTACATTCATGTATTTCATAAAATTTTAACATATTTTACTGATATGTTAATTTTTAAAATTTTGCTCCCTCTTCTGAACTGTAACTCATTTAACAAAATAAAATCTTGAAATGGCAGCATGGCCGACTGCTAAACGCATCAGGCAAGTTATCTATGGATCTTTAGCCGCATGGGTTCAAACCCAGTCAAGGGCAAGCCTTGTTTGATTGAGCAAGAAACTTTTAGCTCAATGCTCAGTACTGGTCGGGGACCACCAATCGGACACTTTTTGAACATTTTTCCATATAGATTTTATATTTTTAAAGCTAGAGCTCTGAAAAGTTTACACAGTACAGCTAGTTTCTTCTCTGAACTAACGGACTAAGTGGTTTATTTCTGATTATGTTGACACTTATATCTGAGGCCTGTGAAGGAAGGTATCAAAATTACCTAAATTGTACACACTACAGTTCCATGTGTCCGGACAGATATGTCCATGATGCTGATTTAATTCAATAAAAGCTTTGGTGTTTTAATTTTTTATTTTTAATATAATATAAAATATTTCAGCAGCAAATGCTCAAGTTTTGGATATTCAATTATTTACTCTACAAATGATAACAGCTAATATAAGTGGTCAGGTATTGCACACTTGACGTCCAAATTTTCAATGTCAACGCTCTTGAAAAAGACATTAAAATATTACCGTTCACTAAAATTGAAATAAATTCAATTACTTAATGAATTACAACCAATGAACAAATAAAAGAGGCATTTTCGGGGCCGTCTGGGTTTGGTGGTTGTCCGGCTTTGGTGGTCTCCAACCAGTACTGTTTGGTCCCAGGAACGGATTCAAGTGTGATATAAGCTTTGATTGAACTACAATAAATTCTGTATATCAAACCAAACAAAATCTTTTGTGCTTATATAGACAATTTCAGATTACTATTTGACTTGCACTTACCTCTAGTTTCTCTAGGTGGTAATAAGAACACTATACTAAGTGCCATACAAACATGCCATGCACTGTGTGTATACAGGTAATTCTCCTCGTCTTGTAGAAATGTAAATATTGCAAGAGCTCCACACACAAGTAGGGCACCAGGTAACAAACAAATCAGATATTTCTTCTTGGTTGGGTAACATTTATGTCTGTAGCAGCATCTGCACATCTAAGATAAAAAGAAGAAATAGATTGAATTATTAAAGGGACTCCACTGAGGTTTTTTTTGCCATGATGGGACTGGAAATAATTTTTCAAGATTAATGTTCCATTGACATAGGTCTAGACCAATAACTTGTATGCAAAATTTCAAATCTGTCACTCACTCAGTTTTTACAAATTAATTATTCTGTGAATAATGACCCAAAATTGGAAAGTTCTGAAATGCTTTTTTTTACTCAAATCTGGCTAAGAATAGCACACAAGTATGATTTTCACCTTAATTCAGAGTATACTTCTTAATCCACTTATGCATATCTTTCTGTTTTAAGTGTCCAGTTTATCTATGTAGAAAAGGAATTCAAATTTTTATGTTTTCAGGATTTTGGACCTCAATGGGGTTCCTTTAATTTACCTTAAAGCAGCATGCCTCCAGATTAATGTTTATTTTCATGAAAATTTTGAAAAGAAAATTAAATGTATAATATTGTATAGAAAATTAAAGAAAGCAATTTACATTTACAAAGACGTAACCCACTTAAATTGCAAAAAAAGAGGTCAAAATATGCAAATATGCCCTTACTGCGTTAGTAACGTAGTAGAAATATAGTTATACATAATGAAAAATTCAACATTAATCTCTCATAGCATGTTAATTATTACTTGAATCTTGAATCTTTCTACTTTTCCTAAAATCTTAGAACATTTTTCACAAGTTTGATTTATTGAAATATTTTCGCTCATCTGGAGGTGTGCTGCTTTAAACATATTTATTTAACCAAATTTTTGCAACTTATATATAAACTTTTTAGTCTGGTTCCTGAAACCAGTCAGGACTGGTGTCATGAGGAAACATTTTAACTAACTTGTTCTCCAAAGAGACTTATTCTGCACTAAATTATTATTAGTTTTCTACTAAAATGAAGATATATAAATATAAAAACTACCAAAGTTTTTGACGAATTTAGATATATTTGTAATTTGATTTAACAAAGTCCATTTCGTGGTCAATACACTGGAATCACATTGTCACACAGTAACAGGTTAACTCCATTTAAATTAAATAAGAAGTAAGCTGTTACTGCACTAAAGTGACGTTTTTGTTAGTTGCAACAATGTGGTAAGTTTCAGATTATTGGGACAGAATTTCATATGTATTCAAATGATTATAAAACATAAAACCTTCCATTGTAAAGAATAGTGAGCATATACTGTTTGTTAAACACTTCAAATAGATCAAACCTTACCCAAGATATCATAATGAGCAACAATCCAAGACCTGCTGGTACCAGGAACAGGAACGCACTTGTTTTCTTATATAATACACCAATCAATAATCCCAGGGGACCAGCAATTTGTATGAGAGCCTTAAACTGTAGTGGTGGCCTTGACATTGCTACCAAGGTTATCCAAATAGAGGTTGCTGAGCCAAGGAAGTCACATGTACTCAGAATGTTAATGTTCAGAATGCAGTATTTATATCCTTCCATTCTATCCCCATCACATGCATGGTACAGCTGAAAATAAAGGAATAACTTGTGTTAATAAAGGTATATTTGATAGTCACTTGAAATATTAAAAGAACAATGTACTTCATTTGATTGCCCTTTTGAGGTTGTCAGTTGCAATAAAGATTATGTGAATTAGTTCATTTGGTCAACTTTAAACAAAAATTTAAAATCTGCTTTCAATTCCTTCAAGTTTATTTCATTCACCATGAGCACTGATGATGTTAGGGCTTTGATTTTTAAGACTTCAATAGTTACACAGAGAATATACGCAGTGATATAGTGGTGTTGACAAAACCATTTCCTTCTTTTTTTATTACATGGAACAATACGGATAGAAGTTACTCAATATGCATCCATTTCAAAGTACGGTTTCCTGTCTAATTCTAACATAAAATACAAATATTCACAGTAAAAGAATATCAAGAATTTGTCAAAACCCTTCCATGAGTTAAGATAGTGACAGTGTTTTAGTAAACACTTGATAAAAATTACAAAACAATTAAATCATTTATTTAATGCAATAATTCAATTCAATATTCATTTTAACATAAATTACTCCAAGATAATGAGTATAACATGAAAGAGAATGTGTTCATTTTGAGACATTGTATTAAAGTAAGGTAACTTACAGCAGAAAACACCATAGTGTATGTATAAACGAGGGCCTCAGCATAATGTTTCCTGTATATAGATAGAATGATAGCTGGGAGGAAGACAATATTACTGACTGTCAGTAACAAAAGTTCTAGAAGTTGGGCACTGCCATCTTTAACCTCACTACCGTCAGAGCAGTCGTAACCTCGCCAACCTGAAACATACAAACATTTATAACTAGAGCAGTCATAGCCTCGCCAACCTGAAACATACAAACATTTATAACTCAAGCAGTCATAACCTCGCCAACCTCAAACATACAAACATTTATAACTCGAGCAGACGTAGCCTCGCCAACCTGAAACATACAAACATTTATAACTAGAGCAGTCATAACCTCGCCAACCTGAAACATACAAACATTTATAACTAGAGCAGTCGTAGCCTCGCCAACCTGAAACATACAAACATTTATAACTCGAGCAGTCGTAGCCTCGCCAACCTGAAACATACAAACATTTATAACTCGAGCAGACGTAGCCTCGCCAACCTGAAAACATACAAACATTTTAACTAGAGCAGTCATAACCTCGCCAACCTGAAACAAATACAAAAATTTATAACTCGAGCAGTCGTAACTTCGCCAACCTGAAACATACAAACATTTATAACTCGAGCAGACGTAGCCTCGCCAACCTGAAACATACAAACATTTATAAACTCGAGCAGACGTAGCCTCGCCAACCTGAAACATACAAACATTTATAACTCGAGCAGACGTAGCCTCGCCAACCTGAAACATACAAACATTTATAACTCGAGCAGACGTAGCCTCGCCAACCTGAAACATACAAACATTTATAACTCAAGCAGTCATAGCCTCGCCAACCTGAAACATACAAACATTTATAACTCGAGCAGACGTAGCCTCGCCAACCTGAAACATACAAACATTTTATAACTAGAGCAGTCGTAGCCTCGCCAACCTGAAACATACAAACATTTATAACTCGAGCAGACGTAGCCTCGCCAACCTGAAACATACAAACATTTATAACTAGAGCAGACGTAGCCTCGCCAACCTGAAACATACAAACATTTATAACTCGAGCAGTCGTAACCTCGCCAACCTGAAACATACAAACATTTATAACTCGAGCAGTCGTAGCCTCGCCAACCTGAAACATACAAACATTTATAACTAGAGCAGACGTAGCCTCGCCAACCTGAAACATACAAACATTTATAACTAGAGCAGACGTAGCCTCGCCAACCTGAAACATACAAACATTTATAACTCGAGCAGACGTAGCCTCGCCAACTGAAACATACAAACATTTATAACTAGAGCAGACGTAGCCTCGCCAACCTGAAACATACAAAGATTTATAACTAGAGCAGACGTAGCCTCGCCAACCTGAAACATACAAACATTTATAACTAGAGCAGACGTAGCCTCGCCAACCTGAAACATACAAACATTTATAACTAGAGCAGACGTAGCCTCGCCAACCTGAAACATACAAACATTTATAACTAGAGCAGTCTTAACCTCGCCAACCTGAAACATACAAACATTTATAACTAGAGCAGACGTAGCCTCGCCAACCTGAAACATACAAACATTTATAACTAGAGCAGACGTAGCCTCGCCAACCTGAAACATACAAACATTTATAACTAGAGCAGACGTAGCCTCGCCAACCTGAAACATACAAACATTTATAACTAGAGCAGACGTAGCCTCGCCAACCTGAAACATACAAACATTTATAACTCGAGCAGTCGTAGCCTCGCTAACCTGAAACATACAAACATTTATAACTAGAGCAGACGTAGCCTCGCCAACCTGAAACATACAAACATTTATAACTCGAGCAGACGTAGCCTCGCCAACCTGAAACATACAAACATTTATAACTCGAGCAGACGTAGCCTCGCCAATTTGAAACATACAAACATTTATAACTAGAGCAGTCATAGCCTTGCCAATTTGAAACATACAAACATTTATAACTAGCAGTCGTAACCTCACCAACCTGAAACATACAAACATTTATAACTAGAGCAGACGTAGCCTCGCCAACCTGAAACATACAAACATTTATAACTAGAGCAGTCATAGCCTCGCCAATTTGAAACATACAAACATTTATAACTAGCAGTCGTAACCTCACCAACCTGAAACATACAAACATTTATAACTAGAGCAGTCATAGCCTCGCCAACCTGAAACATACAAACATTTATAACTAGAGCAGACGTAGCCTCGCCAACCTGAAACATACAAACATTTATAACTAGAGCAGTCATAACCTCGCCAACCTGAAACATACAAACATTTATAACTCGAGCAGACGTAGCCTCGCCAACCTGAAACATACAAACATTTATAACTATATCTGTAACCAATACTTTGTATTCTAGCACTCTTGTCTCCGCCAATCACCATTATAAAAGTATTCACTGTAATGATTACAACATTTTTTTATTTTCTTGCAAGGAAAGTATAAAAAGAGAGTAAAAATGAAAAGATAATTTCATTTCATTTACGGAATGAGATGGATAATAATATAAACAGGGGAAAAACAAGGGGAAGAACTTGTTATATATCAAGAAATACAAATAGTGGACACTATAATTTAAGTTATTTCCCTGAAAACCAGCAAATTACATCAATCATTTTCTGTTTGTTTGAATATTAAACTAATATCTTTTCTAATCACTACAATTTGAGTTATGTTGTGTTTTATAATGCATGATGAACAGCCCGTCTTTTTTGCTAAATACAAGTTACAGAAAAGCATAAAAAAAGGTTATTTGGTTTGTACGAAGCCCTTAAGTAGTAATCAGATAGCAGAATGCCAGCATGTAAACATTTATACAAGATTTCACTAACTTTATCCCACATTTTAATGTCACACAGGTCACAAAGTCATTTAGGATGGGCATACATTGTTATAAAGAAACAGATTCTTTAAATAAAACAGTTTTATATTAGCAGAGAAAATTTTGTTTTATAATAAATTCCTCTGATTATTGAAACCTCTGCATCTGAATATGGAAAAAAAACCTGAGAATTTGTGTGAAAAATGTTTGTTTTGTTATTAATTTTGTCAATATTTTCAATGAAAAGGTCTTTCAGCTATGATACCAGACATTTGTCCCACTCTATGTAGTTGACTATAAATGTAATGTACACACCTGAATTACACCTGCATGTAGTGTAGAGAACTTGACCATTAAGGTAGTTGATACAACGACCATTGTTAGAACATTTCCCCTCAACACATGCATCTGTTGCTATAGTAATATTTAAATCAGCTGTCACAGTACTGCATGGAATGAATACGATGTCACTGAAAATATAATGTTACATAATACTATATTAATAAATATCATTAACAATTTACTTGAGCTGACATTTACAATTTTATTATTTAGATTTATAACTATTTAATTAACAACAGAAATCATTTCTTGAGTTGACAATTTTTACACAAAACAATACCATTACAGACTGGAATATAGCACAAGGATGACTGTTTACAGTGTTAACGAGGCTCTGCCGAGCTTTTTGCTTAACAGCTACCTGAGAGCTAGATGTTCCTGCCTGTAACAACAGCCTGTGTTTAATTCTATTTTTTGGATATTAAATATGTATCATATCTTGGAAAGAAATTATGAAAACAAATAATTTCATGTAGCACTTTTTTCTAATGGTAGCGTAATCATGTACAACCCCATTCATAATGGCAAAATCACGTCTTCCTATGAATGCAATTCATTCATATAAGGCATGTGGGAATGACATCATTTAAAGCACACAACCTGTCTTACATGGGGGTTATAAGATTTTAAGATTTATGTTTTTCAAGCGTAGATAATCCTGTCCGATATGCAAGAATAAATAGAAACAAATAGGTGTTTAAACAAGTGTTTTATATCCCTAAATTCAAATCACTGATACACATATTTATTTTGTATTCTAACATGACCCGCATTTTTTCCTATTGAACGTAGAAGAACCGAAAGTGTGTGTTATTATGTAATAAAATCACTGTTGACGTTCTATATTTAGACATGTGACATAATCATTATATATATGTGACAAAACCACTAAAATGCGACACGCTGAAATAAGTACAGAAACATCAATATCAGGTAAGGAATCATTAATTTTTTAATGTCATGTTAGAAATGAAATAATATATCCAAATTGGTGATTTTTTTGCTTGATAAAATCACTGTTTGTCATTTGGATGAGCATAATTATATCACTCCAGCTATGCCCTCGTGATATAATTCCTCGCATCTGAACTCCAAACAGTGATTCTATTGAGCTATAAAGTCACAGTTTGGGATATATTATTTCTTAAATATAATTCAAATATCTGAAATAATCTATATGATATTGATCAATAATCTATATGATATTGATCCTATCAAAACACTCCATAAATAATCAAGCCATGATGGTCCAACATTATTTTGCCATAACCTTAACTAATACATGTACTGATATTGAACTGTCAACAACGGATGACTTTTCAGATATTGTTTAAAGGCTAAACTATCACATAACAAATAGATTAAAAATTTGATTTGTAGACATATGTAATGATAAAATGCTCTAATTGTTAGTGGTAATATTAGCTCAATACTGACAGACTTTTGTTGCTAGTATAGAGCCAACAAAACTGTCATATATGTGCAGTTTAATCAGACTCTATAACATGTTTGTCATGTCATCTATTCAGCTTTAAACAGCCTCCACTAACAGTTTCTGACATTATGGGAATGGAAATATATTTTTAAAATTTTTTACAATTTGTTATAGATCTTAGTGTATATGGGATTATCAATAACTTGTATGAAAAACTTCAGATCGTTCACTCATTCAGTTTTTCCAGGATACCATTATCATTTTTATAGTGCAAAATGAACTATGAAAATAATGTCTTCAAATTGAGATAAGAATTGCTCTTTATATTGACTTCCAATTTGATTCTGAAGATATTTCTTTACTAAATTTTTCACCTTTTTTTGTGTTTAAAGTGCACTAGTTAATTTATGTAAGACATTAAATCTTATATTTTAAGGTTTCTGGATCTCAGTGGAGCTCCTTTAATCTTGAATTCTTTGAAAATAAAAATGACCAATTCCATGTCGAAGAAAAATCCAATAATTGCTTTAAATAAAAAGTTTAGAATAAAACTTTCTGCATTATGTTATCAATTTGAAAAGTAAAACTCTGACAAATATTACACTTGTGCAGTCATATAATGTAATACTGACACTGTACAATCATGATCATCTATTGTCATACTGGCACTGTATAGTCATCTAATGTCAAACTGAAACTGTACAGCCATCTAATGTCATACTGGCACTGTACAATCATCTAATGTCATACTGACACTGTACAGCCATCTAATGTCATACTGGCACTGTATAGTCATATAATGTCAAACTGAAACTGTACAGCCATCTAATGTCATACTGGCACTGTACAATCATCTAATATCATACTGACACTGTACAGCCATCTAATGTCATACTGGCACTGTATAGTCATATAATGTCAAACTGAAACTGTACAGCCATCTAATGTCATACTGGCACTGTATAGTCATATAATGTCAAACTGAACTGTACAGCCATCTAATGTCATACTGGCACTGTACAATCATCTAATGTCATACTGATACTGTACAGCCATCTAATGTCATACCGGCACTGTATAGTCATATAATGTCAAACTGAAACTGTACAGCCATCTAATGTCATACTGGCACTGTATAAGTCATATAATGTCATATTGACACTGTACAATCATCTAATGTCATACTGGCACTGTACAATCATCTAATGTCATACTGGCACTATACAATCAGCTAATGTCATACTGACACTGTATAGTCATATAATGTCATACTGACACTGTATAGGTCATATAATGTCATACTGACACTGTATAGTCAATTAATGTCATACTGACACTGTACAATCATCTAATGTCATCATCTGGACACTGTATAGTCATAAAATGTCATACTGACACTGTATAATCATCTAATGTCACACTGACACTGTATAGTCATATAATGTCATACTGACACTGTATAGGTCATATAATGTCATACTGACACTGTATAGTCATATAATGTCATACTGACACTGTACAATCATCTAATGTCACACTGACACTGTACAATCATCTTATGTCATACTAGCACTGTACAATCTGTACAATCATCTAATGTCATACTGGCACTGAACAGTCATATAATGTAACACTGGCACTATACAGCCATCTAATGTCATACTGACACTGTACAGTCATATAATGTCACACTGAAACTGTACAGATCATATGTCACATTGAAACTGTACAGGTCATAAAATGTCAAACTGAAGCTGTACATGTCATATAATGTCACACTGAAACTGTAAAGGTCATATAATGTCATACTGACACTGTATAGTCATATAATGTCACACTGACACTGTACGATCATCTAATGTCACATGGACACTGTATAGGTCATATAATGTCACACTGACACTGTATAGGTCATATAATGTCATACTGACACTGTATAGGTCATCTAATGTCATACTGGCACTGTATAAGTCATATAATGTCATACTGACAATGTACAATCATATAATGTCACACTGACACTGTACAATCATCTAATGTCATACTGGCACTGTACAATCTGTACAATCATCTAATGTCATACTGGCACTGAACAGTCATATAATGTAACACTGGCACTATACAGCCATCTAATGTCATACTGACACTGTACAGTCATATAATGTCACACTGAAACTGTACAGGTCATATGTCACATTGAAACTGTACAGGTCATATAATGTAAAACTGAAGCTGTACATGTCATATAATGTCACACTGAAACTGTACAGGTCATATAATTTTGGTTGTTTGTTTTGGGTTTTACGTCACATCGGCACAGTATAGGTCATTTCACGATGTTCCAGCTTAACTGGTGGAGGAAGACCTTAGGTGCCCTTCCATGCATTATTTCAGGCATGAACAGGCACCTGAGTAGAACCACCGACGTTCCGTATGCTAGCTGGATAGCTTCCTCACATGAAAGATTCCAAATTCCCTGTCGGGATTCGAACCCACAGAGGTGAGGGGCAAGTGGTTTGAAGACAACGACTTTAACCACTCGGCCACGGACGCCCCACAGGTCATAAAATGTCACACTTAAACTGTACAGGTCATATAATGTCACACTGGCACTGTACAGGTCATTTCATGTCACACTGACACTGTACAGGTCCATATAATGTAACACTGGCACTATACAGTCATATTATGTCACACTGGCACTGTAACAGTCATATAATGTCACAATGGCACTGTACAGGTCATATAATGTCACACTGAAACTGTACATGTCATATAATGTCACACTGACACTGTACAGGTCATATACTCACACTGAAACTGTACAGGTCATATAATGTCACACTGATGCTGTACAGGTCATATAATGTCACACTGAAACTGTACAGGTCATATAATGTCACATGGACACTGTACAGGTCATATAATGTCACACTGACACTGTACAGGTCATATAATGTCACACTGAAACTGTACAGGTCATATAATGTCACACTGAAACTGTACAGGTCATATAATGTCACACTGACACTGTACAGGTCATATAATGTCACACTGACACTGTACAGGTCAAATCATGTCACAATGAAACTGTACAGGTCATATAATGTCACATGGACACTGTACAGGTCATACAATGTCACACTGAAGCTGTACAGGTCATAAAATGTCACACTGAAACTGTACAGGTCATATAATGTCACACTGAAACTGTACAGGTCATTTCATGTCACACTGACACTGTACAGGTCATATAATGTAACACTGGCACTATACAGTCATATTATGTCACACTGGCACTGTACAGTCATATAATGTCACAATGGCACTGTACAGGTCATATAATGTCACACTGAAACTGTACATGTCATATAATACACTTTACAGGTCATATAATGTCACATGGACACTGTACAGAATGAAACTGTACAGATCATATCATGTCACATGGACACTGTACAGGTCATATAATGTCACACTGAAGCTGTACAGGTCATATAATGTCACACTGAAACTGTACATGTCATATAATGTGACATGGACACTGTACAGGTCATATAATGTCACATGGACACGGTACAGAATGAAACTGTACAGGTCATATCATGTCACATGGACACTGTACAGGTCATATAATGTCACACTGACACTGAGCAGGTCAAATAATGTCACAATGAAACTGTACAGTCATAT